GGGGACGGTGCTGGGGTTGGGGTGGAGAACCTCAGGGGGTTCCTCAAGGGGTTCCTCAAGGGGTTCCTCAAGGTGAACCTGCTGCTCTGCGCCCCCACCGTGAGATCTGGGCTTTGGGGACAATCCTGGGGACAATCCTGGGGACAATCCTGGGGGTTTGGGGTGGAGAACCTCAGGGGGTTCCTCAGGGGGTTCCTCAAGGTGAACCTGCTGCTCTGCGCCCCCACCGTGAGAGCGGGGACAGTCCTGGGGTTTGGGGACAATCCTGGGGACAATTCCGGGGTTTGGGGTGGAGAACCTCAGGGGGTTCCTCAAGGTGAACCTGCTGCTCTGCACCCCCACCGTGAGAGCGGGGCTTGGGGACAATCCTGGGGACACTTCTGGGGTTTGGGGTGGGATGGATCCAGTTCAGGGGGTAGAGAAGGTTTTGGGGCTGGAGAACCTCTTGTTTCTCAAGGGGTTCCTCAAGGTGAATCTGGAGTTTTGGGGTGGAGAAGCTCAGGGGGTTCTTTAAGGTGTTCCTCAAGGTAAACCTGGGGTTTGAGAGTGGAGAACTTCAGGGTTCCTCAAGGTGTTCCTCAAGGTGTTCTCCAAGGTGGATCTGGGATTTGGGGCTGAGGAATCTCCAGGTTCCTCAAGGTGGATCTGGGATTTAGGGTTAGAGAAGCTCAGGAGTTCCTCAAGGTGGATCCGGAGTTTGGGGCTGAGGAACCTCCAGGTTCCTCAAGGAGTTCCTCAAGGGGTTTCTCAAGATGCTCCTCAAGGTGGATCTGGGGTTTGGAGTGGAGAAGCTCAGGAAGTTCCTCAAGGAGTTCCTCATGGTGTTCTTCAAGGTGGATCTGGGGTTTGGAGTGGAGAACTTCAGGGTTCCTCAAGGTGTTCCTCAAGGTGGATCTGGAGTTTGGGGTTAGAGAAGCTCAGGAAGTTCCTCAAGGAGTTCCTCAAAGTGGATCTGGGGTTTGGGGCTGAGGAACCTCCAGGTTCCTCAACGGGTTCCTCAAGGTGAACCTTGGGTTTGGGGCTGGAAAACCTCAGGGTTTCTCAGGTGTTCCTCACAGTGGATCTGGGTTTTGGGGTGGAGAAGCTCAGGGGGTTCCTCAAGGGGTTCCTCAAGGTGAACCTTGGGTTTGGGGCTGAGGAACCTCCAGGTTGCTCAAGGTAAACCTGGGGTTTGAGAGTGGAGAACCTCAGGGTTCCTCAAGGTGGATCTGGGGTTTGGGGTGGAGAAGCTCAGGGTTCCTCAAGGGGTTTCTCAAGGTGAACCTTGGGTTTGGGGCTAGAGAACCTCAGGATTCCTCAAGGTGGATCTGGGTTTTGGGGTGCAGAACTTCAGGGTTTCTCATGGTGTTCCTCAAGGTGGATCTGGGGTTTGGGGTTAGAGAAGCTCAGGAAGTTCCTCAAGGTGTTCCTCAAGGAGTTCCTCAAGGTGGATCTGGGGTTTGGTTAGAGAAGCTCAGGGTGTTTTTCGAGCTAGATCTGGGATTTGGGGTGGAGAAGCTCAGGGAGTTCCTCAAGGTGGATCTGGAGTTTGGAGCTGGAGAAGCTCAGGGAGTTCCTCAAGGTGGATCTGGGTTTTGGGGCTGGAGAACCTCAGGGTTCCTCCAGGTGGATCTGAGCTCTGGCGTGGAGAACCTTGGCCCTGTCCAGGGTACCTCCAGGACACTGAGGGATTTTTGGGGTGGCATGTTCGGTCCCAGGGCGCGGGGAAGACCAACGTGTCGAGGTGTTCCTCAGGATGGATCTGGAGAACCTCAGGGTTCCTCAAGGTGGATCTGGGATTTGGGGCTGAGGAACCTCCAGGTTCCTCAAGGTGTTCCTCAAGCTGAACCTGGAGTTTGGGGCTGGAGAACCTCAGGGTTCCTCCAGGTGGATCTGGGCTCTGGCGTGGAGAACCTTGGCCCTGTCCAGGGCAGCTCCAGGACACTGAGGGGTTTTTGGGTGCCGTGTTCGGTCGCAGGGCGCGGGGAAGACCAACGTGGCGCTGATGTGCATGCTGAGGGAGATCGGGAAGCACATCAACATGGACGGCACCATCAACGTGGACGAGTTCAAGATCATCTACATCGCCCCCATGAGGTCCCTGGTGCAGGAGATGGTCGGGAGCTTCAGCAAGGTGAGGAGCTCCACAAGGTTTGGGATGAGGTCCAAGGGGAGGTTTGGGGTTGGAGATGAGTGGGATCAGATCTAAGAGGAGTTTTGGGATCATGGAGGGCTTGGGAACAGAGGTGGGGAAGGGGTTGGAGAAGAAGGAGAAGGCTCTGGAGAACTCCTGAGGGATCTGGG